CCAAACCATAATAATTGTACAGATAACAATGAACTTATAATGTATAAAAATTATTTAACTGAGATCAAATCAACAACAAATAAGTTTTTGGTATCTTTGGAACCTATTAAGTCTGCTATCAAAAATAATATATTTTAAACATAGAAAACACAAGTAGCATCTTTAAATATTAAATACAGCCAGCCACAATTACCAAAAAAAAAACATTATTTTTGTAACTTTGAAGACAAACTACAAAATAATATTATTATAATATGATTCATATTGCACTAAAAAAGAGATCAATAAGCAACTGCGGGGTGCAGGCTCGGAGATGTTCGCAGACCCATCAAGAAATATCCAAATAATTACTGATGACACGGGTCCAACTATTTTAAAATCGGAGATATTACGTGACCAGATAACATACCCATATTACCCATCGAGATTCTCAAGCTATTGGAGGAAGTACTTGACCAATTCTTCAACAACATTTACGAAACTGGCATTCTTCCACATGACTGGCTAAAGTCTACGTTCATTACAATACTCAAAAAACAAAATGCAACAAAATATGGAGAGTACCAGATGATGAGTCTAATGAGAGATGTCCTAAAAGTGTTCTTAAACATCATACAGAACAGAATAAGAGTAAAGTGTGACGAACAACTGGGAGACAGCCAATTCGGATTTCATTCTGGTGTAGGCACCCGTGAAGCTTTATTCGCCCTCAACGATCTCAGAATCTCCATCTCTTCAAAAATGCAGAGAAATGCAAACGGACGTGCTGATAATATGTTTTATCGACTACGAAAATGCACTTCATTTAGTTAAGCATCAGGCGGGGGTAGTGGAGGGAGGCGTGAAAATGGGTGGATGCAGGCTGTGTTCGGTTCGGATACATTTAATGCCTCAATATTAATTATTTTTGTAAGAGTGTTTGAAAAAAATTTGATTAAAACAAAATGTTAATTGTTACTTAATAATGGGAAAACCGGAGCTGAGCTCCGGTTTTGGCTCTCAAAACCGGTTTTCAATAATCGTAAAATTTTGGCCGATTTCCGGTTTTGCGTAAAACCGGAAAACCGGTTTTACATGCCCTAAACTTTACGTCTGCAAAAATTCAAAGCAATCAGTTGAGTAGTTACGGCGTGAAGGTGGAACAAACAAACAAACAAACAAACTCACTTTCAGATTTATAATATTAGTAAGGAAGTAAGGATGCTCATATAACGTTGCTCCCCACTAGTATTTTCTCCTATGTCGTGTGTGCGTTTACAAACATAAGTTCACATACACATGACACCTAGGCCCAGAACAATAATTTGTGGATCACACAAAGAGTTGCTCCGTGTGGCATTGGAACCCGCGACACGTTGCGCGGCAGCCGGTTGCCCAGCCACCGCACTAAACATGCCGTCAAAACTCACTATAGCTGTCAAAACGCAAGCCGTGATATCACTCCGGTTGAGCCGGCTCATTCGTGCCGAAGTATGACTCTCTAACTTAAAAACCTTAATAACTGCTTACCCCATTTGTGACACACTATTTTTTATACTCTATCAGATTTCGAGTTAATTTCTTACAACTTTTAGAATAAGTTTAGTTATGAGAGAATATAGATAGACGATATTGAGTGCTCTTCAAAAGCACGGAAGCATGTCGAAATTACAAGCATGGTCATCCAAGACCGACTACTCTTAACTCAGATTTTGAGGCAAATACATGAAAAAACTACTGTTTACACATTCAGATTTCTCGCGTCATAAGTAGGTCAATTGCTCACACAAATTGTCGTAGACTTTCTTTCAAATTAGTTAGAATAAAAATGGCATTTATTTCCTTTATTTTTTATGTTAAAGGTACTTGTGCTTCCTAAAATAATATGATAGATGCCTAATTTTTATTTTAAGGTCCGTCTGGTAGATTATTTCAAATCATTAGACTCGTATTTTTTATTTTCTTATAGAAACGAATATTTTCGTCGATGTATTGATTTGAAATGTCGCGTGACGTCATTTCTATGTACATTTTATACGTAGAAATGACGTTTTAGCCCCCATTCCTAAACTTTGATTCGTTTTATCTAAGTATTGTTTTGTTATACGACAAAATAAAAAATACGTGTCTCATATTTTTTCATTACCTAACTTACGGACTAATTAGAATTTTAATTTTCATACCCTGTCATCATCCCAATTCTCATGGTTGTGTCTATTTGATCCCTATGTTGGTCAAAGAATTAGTTCTTTGTTTTTTATTTTAGTAAGTTTTGCAATTTGTATAATACGTCAAGCGTGTCTTTGCATTGTTCTCACATATGCGTACAATATTGGATAATGTATCAGAGAGATTGTAAAACATCGTTTTTTAAAAGAGTAACGAATGTAGTTTCTTGCTCGTTCTTCTCCATTCGAATTTACATTTTGGATGGAGTGAACAGGAATGAGCACCTAGCTTCACTGACGGACATACTGACAGACTATTATTTATTTTTGTATTTGTTGACGTTTCAGCACCAAATTATGGTTCAATTGAAATAAATGCTTTGATTTTGACTACTTTTTATTCGTCTTTAGTTAAGTCATCAAAGTAGGTATTCATTAGAAAATTTGAATTAAAAATGTAATTAAATCTTTCATTAACACAATCGACTTGATCGTTATTAATTTAGTTTTTCTAAGACTAACCCTCTAACCGCCATTTAGCATGTTACCTTTATTTGAGGGGGACAATCATACAGTGGCTCCTCCCGGCCTTGGATGAGGCGAGTGAAAGTGTCAGACTCTTACTGAATAAAAACCATCCCATTCCTACTCTTGCTTCGAGTCGAAAGGTGCTCGGTAACCCGGTAGACCCAGCGCACACCGGCACAGGCGCGATGAAGATACTGAGAATCAATTTAAAATGAACCTTAACTACTTTGGCATATGAAAAAGATACTTGACGACTCACCGCGCGCCTAATGTTCACGTTACCTTAATAATAGGTTGAATTAATGTAGGTAATGGTCTATTATTCCGTTTTTGTGTTTGATCATCAGTGATCGGAATAAGGTGAATTATGAGTCCTATGTAATAGGGGTGAGCCTATTGCCATATACCGGACACATTTCCAGACTCCGTGCTATTACTGAGATTTTTAAAAACCCAGTAATACTTTGCCCGACCGTTGCATTTGCGACCACTCGGCCAACGAGGCAGTCATTCTAAGTCAGAATAAGATTTATAAATTCACATAATTAAAGTTCTAGTAAATTTACCGGTAAAAAATTTTTAGTTGTAAGGAAGTCTCCGATTTTGTCTCTGCTCTACGAACTGTAGGTAAATATACTCACCATATTCCGATCACTGTGTCGCGGAGAACCTAACGGGTAACCGGGGCTCCGGCTCGACGTGCAGGAGAAGGAACGGGGTGGTTTTTTTTCAGAGAGTTTGACACTCCCTCCTGCCTCACCCAGGCGGGAGCAGGCATTCGATGATTTTCCCCCCTTAAAAAAAATCCGATCATTGTTGATCATACAAACATAATGTGACGGCAGAAAAGAGAAGAATATTTTGTCACCAGTCACCACCCGTTAGTACTCTTCACGCTTGTACGCGCCGTCTAGGGGACTACTCATTTCTAACTGAGAAACTGGAATCGTATCAATTGGGAGTTGCAACTTGAATGTCAGGCGTTGACACTGGCAAACCCTCTAATGCAGAGAAGACCCATATAGCATAGCCAGTCGACTGTAATGGACTGTTGACATTGATCGACCTCGTCAAAAAATGGATACGTAATTTTATTTCATTATCATCATAACTATATCAGCCACGAATGTCGACTAATATTGAAAATACTTGGCCTCATCCCTTAGAGTATTTATTTATTGCAATCGATCCAGTTTTATTTGTCGCGGAGAACCTAACGGGTAACCGGGGCTCCGGCTCGATGTGCAGGAGAAGGAACGGGGTGGTTTTTAGTCAGTAAGAGTCTCCCACTCCCTCACACGCCTGCTCCCGCCTCACCCAGGCGGGAGCAGGCATTCGATGATTCCCCCCCCTTAAAAAAAGACCATTATCTACCCCTGTTCCAAACTTCATCCCGATCAATCCCGCTGTTTAGTCGTGGAGGAGTACCAAACGGGTAACCGGGGCTCCGGCTCGATGTGCAGGAGAAGGAACGGGGTGGTTTTTAGTCAGTAAGAGTCTCCCACTCCCTCACACGCCTGCTCCCGCCTCACCCAGGCGGGAGCAGGCATTCGATGATTTTCCCCCCTTAAAAAAATCCAGTTTTATTTATACCAAAAAATCTAACTTCTGGAATGAAATCACTATTGATGTCTACGCCGAACCATTACACATAATTTTTAATAGTACAACTTTGATCAACATTCATCTGACGGTTATGAATAGCCATAAAAAATATTAAATGACTTCGGTTTCACGTAATATAGTATAGATTCAATTTATTTCAAGACTTCCACTCTAGTTGTCGTTATTGCAGATTTCATTTATTTTTAATTTCGTCCTTGAATTGTAAAGCGAATATGCTTAGAATTAGAGTGAGAAAATTCTTGCCGTTTCAATTTAAGGCAGGTATACATTAATGTCAGTGTAAATAATTTAATGTTTAGCTGGTATTTTGATTGTTTTTTTTATATCCATTTCGAGGAAAGCTGAAATGCATTAATCAATAGTATTAAGCCACAAAAGAAGAATCATAAATCTGGGTTTAAAACGATTAGATGCTTGACAAAAAAAAACAATTTATGAATAGGCTGGAAAATTGGACCTTTTGTTTAGTTCACTAAGTCACTAAATTTGACGAAAATATCTAGCTGACGATACGTATCGCCCCTAAAACTTTCAAATGTTGAATCACTTCACTTCAACTCAATTTGAAGAAGGTTATTGTATCTTAGTCAGGAAGTTAAGTACCAGTCGCTTTACACAAACATGGCACTCTGTAATTACCGTCGTCGTTTGTATGCAAGAAATTCTATTAATCTTCTTATCTTCTATCTCCTTCCGCAGCGCAAGAAAACAACGATAGACATCCTCGATCGACTCGAAACTGATATAAAAAGGATTGAAAGAGATGGCCAATATAAGGAGCAGACCCACAAAAGAGTTATTGGGTACATTATGGCGTATTCCGTCGGTTTATATGTCCTGTTCGCTATTTTATACTATTACATGTACGTTGGGAAGAGCCAGCATTGGATGTATTCGCTGCTCTACGCGTCACCGCTTCTCGTTTTGCCTGTATTGTGAGTATTTTGTGTTATGTCATAAAGAAGAATGTGAGTTCGTTTAGTGAAATTTTTGGACTAAATTATTGTTAGGACGATTTTAATGCGATTCGGGATATTGTTGGAAAGATCTGGGGAATGTTGGCTTCGTTATTTACGAGAACTGCTGCCAGCAAAAGCCAAAATTGGTATATAAACATTAATTGCTGTTTTTAAAGTTTTGTTTATCAGTATATTTTATATTGCCCCAGAAGACAAATTCAAATTCATTTAATCGTTTGCAAACATGGGTACATAATATAGGTAGGATTAACAAAATGACAACTGTAGTGTTTCAAATTAGACAGTTTCATTTTATAAGTAGAAGTCAGTTTTACTCACATCACCATTAAAGAAGAATTAATCACACTAAATAGCCACAACAGAAGAATACAAAAATGATAATTCCTTTCCAGAGTAATATTCCTTAGATCAGCAATATCGTGGTACTACAATTGGTCGCTAAACAAGAACAGGATCAAACTATCGAAGATGAGAGAAGAGAAAAAGAAGATCTTGGAAGAAGTTATGAATACTGAGACATACAAAGTAAGTTTTAGAGAAGAATTAATTCTGGACTAGGATAAATTTTTTTATAGGATAAGCCGCCAAACGACCGTACGGATCACCTGATGGCAAGCAATTGGCGTCGTCCATACACCTGGAACACCAGAGGCGTTACAAGTGCGTTACCGGCTTTTTAGGGATTGAGAAATTAAGGAATGTCAGGGATTCAGGGATTGGAAGATTGGGATAGGGAGGGGGGGGGAATAGTTTGGCTTCTGGTAACCTCACTCACACGACGAAACACAACGCAAGCGTTGTTTCACGTCGGTTTTCTGTGAGGCCGTGGTATCACCCCGGATGCCGGCCATTCGTGCCGAGGCTCGGACCACACTTCACACTTGTGATTAATGTTATTTTCATGTCGTTTTGTAAGTGTCTCATTTACTTTGAAATTGTTAGTTGTTTCTGACTCCACGGTTGGTGCGGTGGCTGGGCAACTAGCTGCCGCGCAACGTGTAGCTGGTTCGATTTCCGCACGGAACAACTCTTTGTGTTATCCACAGATTTTCGTTCCGGGTCTGGGTGTTATGTATATGACTGTGAATTTGTATGTTTGTAAACACTCCCACGACACAGGATAAAATCCTAGTATACGGCAACGTTATAAAAAAACTTGAACTCTGACCATGAGATCCAGATTTTGATTCCCGGTTAAAAACTAGTTAATGCACCAAGTCTTAACAGAGTATCTCCACCAGTGTTTATTATATTTTTATAATTTATATTATTAGACATTTCTATAAATAATGTTTAAATACGTCACGCTTCGTCGTACCCGATAAATGCGATTGGACGGCAAAAATGCACTTGTGTATTATTATTAATGTATTTTCTAAACATCATGAAACAGAAATTAATAAAAATATGTTTTAGAGCGCATTTTTTCATCTAATAACATTTTTACCGGTTTCGCGCTGATGTACGGTATATAATAAATGTTTGTACATGTGCTGGACATCGGTCCAGCGTATAATTCACCGTTCAAAAACACAGTCTGTTATCCGGTAAAGAAAAAAACGGACAAGCGCTCTTAGGAGTTAAGGGTAAGTTTTGTGATCTAAAATTACATCTTATATTCCATTGCAGGTTGCGAAAGAGATCTTAGACAAATACGGTAGTCCAGAGGAGCAATCGAAAGCGCTGAAACCTTTCGTACCGTCTACAAATGTGCCCGGTAATACCCCTAGCACGCCGGTCCCAGGTAGTTAGAAATCCTTTTGTATATAATCCTCTCTTTTCTTAATAATATATACGGCTTATGCACTTTTCGAAGAAGCTCGATTAGTTTCGAGCAACACCGGGACTTATAATTATGTACTATTTGACTGTTTTCAGACAGCATGTTTAGGTAAGCCGTAAATATTATTTAAATGTAATGTTTCACACTAGCGATTATACTGCAATTATAATTTCTTCCAGTTTATTTATTTAGTGTAGATTCTTTATTCGGCATTTGTTACTAAGACATTGTTTAGAAGTAAATGAAATACCCTTTAAACTGTCTCCCTCCGCTCTCTCTCTCCTTTTTTATTCCCTCAATATATTTTTAAATGCCTAGAGTAAATTATAGTGTAACTAATAGTTCGGTGTCTGGGAACCATGAAGTTTTTAACTATTAACATGATATTGTGTAATCTTCGAGGTGTTTTTTCTATTTTTGTGATAATTATCGTCGAGTCGTTGACGTTAAATATTTTCTCATGCATAAAATATATGAAATTTATAGAAAATTATCATTTTTCACATGTCAAAAAATACTATGCCATTATACTTAAGCAACTGCATTCGTACCATTATATTATATTAAAAAAATCCTACTGATATTATACACGTCAGGAGGTGTGTATGTTTGTTATTCCTGCATTCAAAAACATACATTCACATAGGTTGTTTTACTGCGAGCAAAGCCGCTGGCTGGAGCCAATATTTTTTTATAGGATATACCGATAAACGAGCAGACGGATCACCTGATGGTAAGCAATTGGCGTCTCAAGTGCGTTATCGGCCTTTTAGGAATTAGGAATTTGAGGATTGTTGGTGATTCAGGGATTGGGGAGATTGGGGGAACGGGGGTAATTGGGTCTTTAGTAACCTCACTCACACAACGCAAGCGCTTTTTCACGTCAGTTTTCTGTGAAGTCGTGGTATTACTCCGGTCGAGTCGAGTCGAATGGGTAATAATAATTAAGATCATTTAATTATCAATGATCCTTCTTCAATTAGCTACTCCAGGTCAACTGCGACAACGTCAGATGGCGATGCAGACGTCAACTCCTATCAACAACAACAGGATGCTGGTACCGGTCGTCAACTCGCCTAACTCCGTGTACAAAGGGCCTAGGCTTAGGGTGAGTCTACATTGACAATAACATAACATCACGCCTTTTTATCCCCGAAGGGGTTGGCAGAGGTGCACATTTCGGCACTTAATGCCACTGTACAATGTAACACCCACTTTTCACTATTTATGTTATGAGTCCCATGTAATAGGGGGTGAGCCTATTGCCATATACCGGGCACATTTTTCCAGACTCCGTGTTATTACTGAGATTTTTAAAAACCCAGTAATACTTTGCCCGACCCGGCAATCGAAGCCCTTGCCCGGCAGTCGCAGTTGCGACCACTCGGCCAATGAGGCAGTCTCTACATTGACAATAGTAACAATAAAACTAGTTAGGTCATCTCCTATCTGATTCGTTGACCGAGTGGTCATGGAGTCTGGAACAGTAACCGGTATATGGCAATACGCTCACCCCCTGTTACATGGGACCCATAACATAAATAGTGAAAAGTGGGTGTTACATTGTACAGTCCATTAAGTGCCGTAATTAATTATTCATAACATCACGTGTTTTTGCTGATAGGAGCCGTCAACTCCCTTTGAAAAAAGTTTTGCATTTGATTAACTAATGTACAAATACTCAAATGCCACTAAATTTTTAGTCGCGTTTAACCTCTCGAGCGTCCTTTTGAGCACCCGGTGGATCATAAGAAAAATGCTCCATGCTGCTTTCTCTTTTATAAAATCTATTATTAATATTTTGTTTTTATTTTAACTGTATTTTTTATTTCTATTGTAATGATCCTTGTTTTCGTGTGCCAATGGCCCAATAAATGCATTTTCTTTCTTTGTTTCTTTCTTTCTCCAAATGTCACGTGTGCACCCGTTGGATCATAAGGAACGCGGACGCTCGACGGGTTAAGTGTACTTCTGTCACAACAAAGTCTTTGTAAAATGACATAGAATTTGCCTTTCTGTATCCAGGCGTAAGTATACTGTTTTATGAAGAAGCAGCATATACTACTAACTTCATTTGTATAATTTTTTTACGGTTTTCTCACATATCTGTTAGACGAGGTAGCTCGACCAGGTTCAAGCTACTCTAGGGGCTCTAACTAATCGAGTTAAACGTTGAGACATAATTCATTTAGGTCCCTTTTCACCAACGAAACTGATCACGATTACACCTAACAAAACTGATTTAAAGCGTCTAATCGAATTTAAAGCGTTTAAACGAAGTTACAGCTTCATTTTACATTTCACCGCTACAAACAGAAACTAGTTTACACGGAACTCAGTTTTTAACAGTGCTCTCGGCGTTTAGCCTCGCTAAGCCAGTTTAGCCACTGTCACTAGTGTCACTTGTTGTTGTGTCATAATAAAATTACAAACATTATTATTTCAATTACTTGGTATTACGTTAAAAATAAGATGAAAAGGGCTTTAGTGCTTGCTTTTGACGAAAGATATGACGAGAAATTTACGCTAGTTCGTCGTCCGAGATGGATTCGAGTGAATGAAGAACATTTCGACACTCTTGATGATAAAGATTTTACAACAAGATTTCGTCTCACAAAACCAACAGTTCTATCTGTATTGGAGTCTATTGAAGATAAATTAGAATTTCCTACAAATATGTAAGTATGATTTTTCATTTCAATTTAGAAACCTACATAGTTTAACGAATCTAGTTCCGTACCTACTATTTACATATTTTACAAGCAATAAGTTCTTATATGGCTAATTTACTTGTTTCAGAAATAATAGTGTGTCTCCCATCAATCAGTTACTATGCGCTCTGCGTTTCTATGCGACTGGATGCTATCAAATGACAGCTGCTGATTTATGTGGATTTAGTACATCTACTGCCCATAGAATTGTACACAGAGTCAGTGCTGCTATTGCCTCACTCCGACCGCGCCATATTTACTTTCCTGAATTACCAGATGAAATACGCAAAACACAAATTGAATTTTCCAAAAGAGCTAAATTCCCATATGTTATTGGTGCTATAGATTGCACACATGTAAAGTTTATCAAGTCACCAGGTAAGATGTTATAAATGTATACTAAACTAACACATATTTATGTAATTTCTACTTGCAATGTATGCATAATAAATATTTTTAGGTGGCGAAAATCCAGAGATATTCCGTAACCGGAAAAACTACTTTTCTTTAAACGTTCAAGCCATCTGCAATGCAAAATTGGAATTTACAGATGTGGTCTCTCGTTGGCCAGGAAGCACACATGACTCATATATCTTCAACAACTGCTATAGACGGGCATTGTTTGATCAGGGACACTATGGAAATGCTGTTCTTGTAGGAGACGCAGGTTATGCGTGTAACAGTTACATGATGACTCCATTAGAACAATGCAGTAATGGTCCAGAAGACTTATATAATGAGTCTCATATTAGAACGAGGAATTGTATAGAAAGAGTATTTGGAGTATGGAAAAGACGTTTCCCAGCCATGGCTATGGGGTTGGGAGTTTCTGTGCAGAATAGCTTCCCAATCATCATTGCTACTGCTGTACTACACAATATTGCAAGAAGAAGTGGTGAAGTCATACCTCCTAATGACAACCAAATTATAAATCCAGATTCTTGGGATGCATTAATAACTCTGGGTGATATTAGCAGTGAAAATATTAATACAGGACAATCATACAGGACAAATCCAAATTATAGAAGACGTAATGAACTTATCACAAACTACTTTGGACGGTGAGTTGACAGTTGTATGTAATCATTACTATATCATTACGCTTTTTATCCCTGAAGCGGTAGGCAGAGGTGCACATCACGGCACTTAATGCCACTGTACAATGAAACACCTACTTTTCACTATTTATGTTAGCACTCCCATATAATGGGGTGAGCCTATTGCCATATACTGGGCACAATTCCAAACTCCGTGCTACTACTGAGAATTTTTAATAAACCCAGTTATACTTTGCCTGCCAGCCCAAATTAAAACAAACATGCAAACAGGATTTTAATTTTACTTTCTAACTACTTTTTGTTTATACTTACTATTTATTTTACTGAAACTAACATTTTTTTTTATATTGTACCTACCTTTTATGGATAAATAAATAATTATATGTTTATCTTTTCAGACTAACAAGATAAATATTTGGCCCAGCACCATTGGACATTACTCAGTCAGTAGCTGTTCAAATTCCAAGAATAAATTAATTGAAATCTTATTTCAGATTGTCAGTCTGCATAATACAATGCAAGTAATATTATGTTAAAATCAACCATATGTTTTTACATAAACATCCAGTGCACTATTTTCATAAATTTACATTTTGAAAAGAGCACCTAGCTTCACTGATGCTCAATTTCAATTTAGACATTGCAAAAGTGCTTGTTTATGGACTATTGAAATAGATAAATGATTTGATTTTGAAACTTGAAAAAGATAGTCATCAGTAACAATAAATTAGGTGTTGTTAATTTTAAAGTTGCTTTGAATTAAATTAAATTGCTCTGGAATAATAAGAAAAAAGGTATTCTGTAATGAATTTGTGAATTTTGTTTGAAAGGAAATAAAAACTATAAATATCGTAATTTTTTTAATTGTAATTTCAAAATTCTAGTTTTAATTTTTCTTGTTCCGTTTTTTAATTTTTCTTGAACCAGCATTTCTTTCTCCCTCTCCTCTTGAAGCCGCAAAATTGCCATATTTGCGGCATGTTCTTCATCAGCATTTTTATTACAATTTAGTAATGTGTTGATGCGTTGCGCGTTAAGGCTTTCACGCCTTAAAATTGGCCTTCTGCGACTTGCCGTCGCTATAGGGCGTTCAGTGGATATAACTCTGCAACAATTAAACAATAATTTTATTAAATAAATATAAAAAAAATACTTATAATAACAGCTAATAGTTTAATATTGTAGTGATTTCTATTGAAACAGTTTACTTCCTTACTTGAATTTTAATTATAATATATTTATGCAAAGAGATATAGACAGTTTATAATATTACTAACCTAGGTGGAGTGATAGTTGTTCTTTCGTGTGGTGGAGGTTCCACTCTACTGCCAGTTGGCTCAGGTGATGGACTCCTTGAGGCAACAAGTGCTGTGGTAACTGGTGCTCTCAACATTGCTGGAGTGTACTGAGACCAGTCCTGCATAAAATACAATTTCATAAAAAAACATATAATAGGTAAGTTTTTAATTTTGGACATTATCTGTTGTAAGCATAGAATAGTGGAAGAGTCTTAAAAAATAAAATTGTGATGTCCATTAACCACCTTTTTTTATAAGGTCCTTTTAACTGCCTAAGCTCTTCAGTTACTTCTGCTTGATTCAGAGGTAAGAAAATCCTGAAACGACTGTGTTCAGAGAGGACCTGCGTCATGCAGGTAAGGAACATTTGTTACGTTTTGCCAGTCTTCAAAGAGGGGACTTAAATACCATGATGATGGTATTAATATGATCTGTCCACCATGGTAAGGTGCAGACCTTATACGTAAGAGTAAATACCGGTATAGTGGATTGTTTTCAAATTTAGTTCACAATACTTACAACTTCAATGTAGCAGCAGCTGTCTCAGTAACTACAGCGGCCTCCGTGGAGTCCTGTACATCAAGTACAGGAGTAGCACTGGCATCTATAACAAATTATTTAATAAAAATAGTGAATATCACTTTAGATTATCACATGTAATGTTATGTATGTATGTACATACACATCTTTCATTAATTTTGTGTCATTATCATAAAAACTATGAACTTTAGAATATTTTTTTTCCTCTCTAAACAATGATACAAAGAATCTCATTGCTCAAGTGCAAATGAGTCTAATGCAAGGTACAATACTATTCTTTATTTTATGAAAGCCCACTTAAGATGTTTTTTAGTATGTTAGGTTTGATAATTTTCATGAGCAGCGGACTGCTCATGAAAATAATAATGATAATATTCCTTAACTTTCACACAATGCTGTCTATACCCATATAGCAGAGCTTGTAGTTAGAGTAATAGACAATTGTTAAACATATTTGTTTAAATTACTCTACTATTATCTAAATTTCAATATAATACATGCATGGTACCAAATTAAATCATATGTATATAATTGATTTAAATCTGCATTACGTAAGAAATAACAAATTAATTCCACTGTAATTTGTATAATATATATCTTTTGAGGTGCCTGGTCGGCATTGATGTGCTTGGATTGTTACGGATGCTGAAAATATAAGTCTTGTTTATATATTTTGTTTATGATGCAATTGAATACAGCAAAAAGACTAGGCCAAACTTTTTATGAGTTTAACTCGTCGAGTACCGGTTTTGTGACACAATTATAGAACAATAGGTTGCGGTCACCGGTGACCGCTTGGTGTTTGACAGTTTAATAACAATTTACATTTACCTGGCAGTCTCCGCAAACTTTGTCAGAGTTCAGTGACAAACCTACATATTCTATGTTATATTATGTAAATAATTTAATGAAGGTTTGTCTGTGTGTCTTTAAAAGAACCAGAAATTATGCATGTGCATCATGTAACGCAATGATCATCAGCAAAGTTGATGTGTATGTGCACGAGTCCATGATGATGATATCAAAGTTGGTATAACCAATTCAAAGTGTGTAAGGTCTAACAAGTAGTAACTATATACAATATAAAGATAATAAAACGTTCGAGACTTACCTAAAATATGAGTGCCATCGGAGTCATACACATTAACAAATCCAGACACTCTAGTCTGGATAAGATCTAGAACTCGATCGATTGCTGGGACTACAGTCAATTTCCTGGGTGGACTCCTCCTTAAATATGAAAAAGAAGGTGAAGTTAAGTAACAGCAACTTACAACAAACTTGAAACTATAGCAAATATTTTCGGTTTTTATTATTGGGTTACATCAAACTATGACATTTTCAGATTAATATTATTCAATGACTTTTTTACCTGTTCCTAAATAATGTTGGTTACGTGCTGTCTGCTCACTTTTGGCTCTCTTCTTTAAGTTTTCCCAGCAGTTTTTCAAAACAATCCATTCTCTTGGATGGACTGACGAAACAGAATTAAATTCTTCTGCAATTTTTTGCCACTCCTGATTTTTGCTGCGTATTGTTGTGGCATCAGTTTTTTTACACTCTACAATAGCAAAGTGTTTCTCCACCAGATCCACTAACGCCATTTTTTCACTTGCGACGAAGGTTGGATCTCTCTTCCGCTTCAAATTTTCGGTTCTGTTAGACATGGCGTAGTATAGTACCTACACAAAGTCGTACAAACAAAAATCCAAAGTCCGTATTGCCCGTAGCTGTGGTCTCGTAATAGAAAGGGGTCCAGTCCGATAAAGCAAGCAAAGGTCGTCGTAAAAGTTATCACACAATAGTCCGAAAAAAGAAAAGCAGGGTCACAGAAATCGCACAGAAAAGAAAGATGGGCACTCGTCAAACACAAAGTTTACGAATGATTTGAAATTTTCTACATCGGGGAATAAAACAAAGTTGCCATTGTATGAATAAAAGTTAGAACAAAAATATTAAATTTTTCATTATTTAAATGCATTATTCATTGCTTTTTTAAATAAGACTTTTTATTATAGGAATTAAGTAGTATACTATATAACAATTGCTTTATATTGGATAATGTTTTTTTTTTCAAATCATGTTTGTATTATGTTCCCGTTTCATATGCGATTTTATTCTGAGCTTGTAACACTGTGAATTGTGAATGTATCAAAATTCGTCCCGTTGTTACAAGTAAAAATATATGCATATATTTTAATAATAGTAATTTAAAATAATAAGATATAATATAATCTTAATTTAAAATAATATTTTAATACATTATTTATTTTTTTAACATCAGCAAATGACTGTTTATATACGCAAACCGCAGCAGGTCGCTTAATTCCCTGATGCATGTTGTAGAAACAAAACGCTCTCGTAACTCTCTCGTTGTAAACTAGTTTTGGTGGGATGGTGTCGGAGAAATCGGTTTGACGTAAACTCAGATTACCCAGATCCACACGAGTCTTTAAACTTAGGTTACTTAAAACTTAGGTTACGTGTAACTGAGTTTTTACAGAGCTTGGTGAAAACGGACCTTAATGTGTCTGAGTAATAATACAAAAATATTGATTTTATGTTGTGTATTTATTTTTGTTTCAGTCGGATCAGCTTCCACGTCCCCTGCCAGAAAGGAACCGCTCTGCTCTAGACAAAGTGGTGGACTTCTTGCTAAAGGACGGACCGAATCATCGCATGGCTCTCATCTGCTCCGAGTGCTCGTCTCATAATGGTGATTCTTACTTTTGATACTGACTGAGTGACTGACTGACTGACTGAGTAATTAAGTGTCTGGCTGTTTGACTTCCAACTGTCTAAGTGATTGGCTACTTGTTTGTGTGATTGACTGCTGACTCAGTGATTTGACTACCTGACTCAGTGACTGACTGCTTAAATAAGTGACTGACACATTGCTTCGGTTGTTTTTTAGATTTTCTATGAGATAGTGGTCTCAATTCAGTCAAGACCACCCATTTGTAAGGCTCTAAAGTCTTTAAACAGACAGTGTATGTATGTATGTATGTATGTGTATGTTTAGTTTGTGATGTAAGTACCTGAGTATGCCTAGAACCACCTCCACTATCATCCAGTGCTCCATTCACCCAAAGGTTGCCTGGTACAGATCGCTTTTAGTGATAAGGCCACCTTTGTGCCCTACTATTCTTGGATGTAACTCCACATTATGTTTATATTGCCTTAAGGTGTACAATGCAGATTATTACTATTATTAAAACAGACGAACCGCATTTCAACTGCAATCCAACTGCATCAATGCATTTTGAATGCAGTTGTGACTATTTTTTATGGCATAAGACGGTAAACGAGCAGACGGATTACCTGATGGTAAGCAATCGGCGTCGCCCATGGACATCTGGAACATCAGAGGCGACAAGTACGTTTCCGGCCTTTTGGGGATTAGGAGTTTGAGGGTCGTTGGGGATTTAGGAATTGGGGAGATTGGGGAAGGGGAGAGTAATTGGGCATGTTCACAACAATGTTAAACTTTTACACCTACTATTGTGTCTCTCTGCATCACCCTAAGGTTGACTGTTAAAGAATGCCACTAGGCATTAAGTCCGCCATTGTATACCCATTCTGCAAGAAGTTTAAATAAATCCTTACTAATATTATAAATCGGAAAGTGAGTTTGTTTGTTTGTTCCGCTTTCACGCCGTAACTACTAAACCGATTGCTTTGAATTTTTGCAGACGTAGAGTTAGAAGTCCGGATTAAATAATAGGGTACTTTTTATCCCGGAAAATTTTTATATTCCCGAGGGAAAACAAAAGTATTGGTATAGATGGCGCTGTGTGTATTGGTATATGTCACAGGTTACTTTTTATCTTTTTGTGACGCGAGCGAAGCCGCGGGTAAAAGTTAGTAAATAAATAAATTACTAAATACCTTAAAACTTAAATTATTTACAGGCATGGCGATGGCCGAAGAGTTTGAGTACGTATCCTATGTATGCGCATACTGCGGCCGCCTCAACCCGGCTCGCAAGCAGAGGCCGGCCGCGCCGCTACTGGCCGCCAGACCATTGCCTGCACTGCCCAATACTTCGATACATGGTAAGCTATGACAAATCTTTTCTAACCAACTTCAAATAAAAAGAAGCAGGTTTTCATTTTGACCTGTATGTATGTACTTATTTAAAAAAAAACCGTTGCCCCACACTTGAATTTTCTCTACTAAAAACCACCCCGTTCCTTCTCCTGCACGTCGAGCCGGAGCCCCGGTTACCCGTTAGGTTCTCCGCGACTCCGAATCGGCATCGGCCCTATTGGGCCCCATCTGTGGTGGTCTGATGGCTCTTTGAGGTGCGCGCGGAACGCGACGCGCCGTACGCGGTCCGCAGGCCCGCGGCCTTCGCAAAAGGAGGAGACGGCATCCCAGTCCCCCTCGCTCCGCATCATGGCCTGCACTAGGCCTGGACGCGAGAGGTCGCCTTCGCCGACTAAACCTAACAGGTTACCGGAGCTTCGGCTCGACGTGCATGAAGTGCGGGGTGGATTTTAGTCAGTAAGAGTCTGACACTCCCTCCCGCCTCACCCAGGCGGGAGCAATCATTCGATGATATTCCCCCCCTTAAAAGTAAAAAAGGCTATAATAATTATAGTATGTAAAAATGTACTGTTATGTATCAGTTTTCTTTTGTCTATCGGTTTGTGTATAGTTTTACTTGAATGGCATGACTTGTATTTTTATAAATCTCTCCAATTCATTATGTATCTGATGCCTGAATACTGCATATGCAATACGTGCTAGTACTGAGGTTTTAAATAAAAATAAAAATCTGGAATTTTACCCGGTATATGGCAATAGGCTCACCCCCTATTACATGGGACTCATAACATAAGTCGTGAAAAGTGGGAGTAACATTGTACAGTGGCATTAAGTGCCGTAGTGTGCACCTCTGCCTACCCCTTTGGGGATGAAAGACATCATGTTATGTTTATTCAATATACATATTTACCGACTTCAAAAAAGGAGGAGATGCTATGTTCGGCTGATTGTTTTTTTTAACTAAAATGTTCACAATCCCCCGTTGTGCTGACTTGTTTATCTATGTACGATGGTACAGGAAGCGGCGATGACTCGTCTCTCGCGAGCTCTGCAAGCGACAGTGATGACGACAAACATGCTGATACTGTTATGAAACATGGTATGTACTATTACTATATAGACATTAATATAACATTATTATTATAAGATGCATGAAAAGACTGATGTACTGTTAATTAAGGGAAAGAGCTATGTAAGAATCGTAGCAATTGGGATGATGACAGGGTATGAAAATTAAAAATCTAATTAGTCCGTAAGTTAGGTAATGAAAAAATATTAGACACGTATTTTTTTATTTTGTAAGTGACGTCACGCGACATTTCAAATCAATATAATTATCGTCGAAAGTATTAGGATGTCATGATTTAAAATAATCTACCAGACGGACATTAAAATAAAAATTAGTCATCTACCCTATTGGCGTGCCATGGTCTCTGCCTACACCCATGGGAAATAGGCGTGAAGTTATGTATGTGTGTATTATAAGATAATTTGACGTTACTGTGCTACATTACAACGATACTTGAGGCCTTTTAAGGTTCCGGAAGCCCAATTCTCCACTAATCCCCTAAACCCCCCAAAAGTCCGGCAATACACTAGTAACCCCCCCTGGTATCCATGGGTGGCACCGATTGCTTACCATCAGGTGATCTGTCTTCTCGTTTCTTCACTATTTAGTAAAAAGTAACTTCATACTATTATTTTTATGTGGCGGTGGTTAATGTTTATCGAGGCGACTCGACCATTTTCAAGCCACACCGGGGCTCATAGTTATCAGCAGCATTTCGCGACAAACGATACGGCAAACATCGCGCAGCTGTAACAGTAAAACACAATCAATTTGATACGTCTCCCTCAAAGTTGTATATTTATTCTATTGTATTAGAGATGATGACAGGGTATGAGAATTAAAAATGTAATTAGTCCGTCAGTTAGGTAATGAAAAAATATTAGACACGTATTTTTTATTTTGTCGTATAATAAAATGATACTTAGATAAAACGAATCAAGGTTTAGGAGTGGGGGGACTAAAACGTCATTTCTTCGTATAAAATGTACATAGAAGTGACGTCACACAACATTTCGAATCAATATATCGTCGAAACTATTCGTTTCCGGAAAAATATTAAAAATACGTGTCTAATGTTTTTAAATAATCTACCAGACGGACATTAACTCTTTGAGTACCGTCATTATAGATACAATTAAAGAACAATAGGTTGCGGTCACCGGTGTCATCGCGGTGTTTGACAGTTTAAAATAAAAATTAGTCATCTACCCTTTTGACGTGTCGCGGAGAACCTAACGGGTAACCGGGGCTCCGGCTCGACGTGCAGGAGAAGGAACGGGGTGGTTTTTAGTCAGTAAGAGTCTGACACTCCCTTCCGCCTCACCCAGGCGGGAGCAGTCATTCGATGATTTTCCCCCCTTAAAAAAAAAAAAAAAAAACCCTTTTGACGTGACAACGTCTTATAAATTGGTTTGCCGGGTGACACTTCAAGAAACTGCATTACGCTCCGCTCACGTTATGCGCTCACAATGAGAGCGAGTGAGAGGCACGCGTCCCTTCCACTCGGGCATGGTTAGCCCGCCTAAGAGCGAGAGAGACAGAGCGAGAGAGAGAGAGAGTGAGAGAGATAGGCATACACACCGGTAATTATTTTACCACTCAAAGTCGTTGTCACGAAAACTTTCGCCCGTATACCGACTTTACAGGCAACCAATTTTTTTATCTTTCCAGGTTCGGAAGGCGACTCGGATCGGCCCCCTTCGTCGGAAGGGTCCCCGAAGCCGGAACAAGACAAGAAAGAAGACTGAGCAACGTCAATTTGCAACATTTATTATACAAACATTGCAGTCTATGCGAGGTAACATTAGTACGGTGTGATTGACAGGGGATTATATGTGTTGTGTTTTAAACGTAGAGTTTATTTTTGATTGAAATTGTTTAGGTTGTTATTGCGTTTTGTGGGATAGAAAATTCATATTATATCATACAGATACATATTGATTTTCATTGGTATAACTTGGGCTCTGGTTAGTCCTTTCCGTGGTACAGAAAAATATACCTTGTGTGATACAGTTAAAATTGAATTATGATTGTATTTGCAAGTGTTCTTGTTACTTTGTTTTTGGGTAAGGAAAAGTATTTTAATAGTCGGGAAAAATAAAGACAATTTTTTAAATTAGTATTGGGGATCGGGCATAGTGAAGCGAAAACTTATCGCGTTCGGCGCTCTGATTGGCCGGCTCAAGTGAACCAACCAATCAGAACGCTTAACTCGCTCGATACTGTTACGATACGAATGCGATAGTTATTCGTGCTTGGCCCTCTGTAGGATTATTTTTAGCGGTGTTTTAATATCAAATTAGTTTTAATGTTAAACTTGTGTTTTTGTACGTTTTCAAAGTTAAATACTGTGCGAACTCAAATAGGAAAATCAATAAAATACTTAAGTTACTTTTACTCAATTTTAAACTCTAACACTATCAACTTAAAACACTTAACAACCCTGTCAAACACACCGTAAAACTATCATCTATGTATATGGCGGAATAGACAAACAGAATTATCTACAATATTTAATTATTATTATTACCTAATTTATTTCTCTTATTTATTATTTAACATTAACATTGTAGTCTCGAAAGAAAGTCTTATGTCTCGAGTAATATTTAATATGAGATCAGAATGTCAGAACGTCAGAATGTCAGACGTAATCGGTCTAACGGCGGAATTAATAACCGATTTCTGGATTAATCTAAGCTTTAAAATACACCCAATACCCCTCAAGGGCCGGTAACGCACTTGTGTTCCAGGTGTCCATGGGCGATGCGGATTGCTTACCATCAGGTGATCCGTCTGCTCGTTTACCTCGCTATACGGTAAAATAATCCGATTTTGTAATCAAATCGATTATTAATTTCGGTCGTAAAAGTGACACGTAATCGTCTGACATTATACAGTTAGCACAAAAAGTTGAGAAATAGAAATTCAGAATTCTAATTTGTAATGTCGATTCAAATTAAGTCGTGTTTGGAATAACGCATGGTCTCGGAAGTCGAGTGGTGACCGATGAGCGAATGGTCTGAACTTCGATTCCTAGATTGCGCAAAACAATATTAAGGATTTTTCAGCTTAAATTCTGAAATTGTCCCTAATATCTGGGTAAAAGGCTTACGCCCTATTACATGTAGCTCATAATTGTATACGCAGTTCTCTGCCTACCCCTTTTGGGAGAAAGGCATACAAATCAGATTTCTGTCTCTCTTAAGAAAGAAAAGCGTTGCAAAGGTACTACTAGCGTTAGCATGAACGTAGCGTAAATATTATGTGAATGTAGCGTAAACGTTGCGTGATCGTAACGTAAGCGTTGCGTAATCGTAGCGTAAGCGTTGCGTAATCGTAGCGTAACCGTTGCGTGAACGTAGCGTAAACTTTGCGTGAACGTAGCATGAACGCAGCGACGGAATTTGTTTTCTCACACAAGTAGACACGTATTCTAGTATAATTTTGATTAAAATGTTTGTTCGTGTTTGTGGTTTGTGTCTCGAAAATTGCTGAACTGGTTTCAATTTTACAATTCTTTATTATGGCATGAAGCAATAGCCGTATTGGCGTATCATAAATTAAACCCTATGCTAATATCAATAAGGCATACATTTAAAGGTTGTTAAAATTTATCTAGAATGCGATGTCTATTATAATTTCTTTAAAACCTTGATTTGACGTCAGACAATAAATTTGTTGAAATATTGTCATTTTTTGGTGTTGTGCATAAATCTCTTTGGTTAAAAATAATGAATGGATTGAATTTATTATTCATTGTTGTTAGATTGACTGCCTCGTTGGCCGAGTGGTCGTAAGTGCGACTGCCGAGCAAGGGGTCTTGGGTTCGATTCCCGGGTCGGGTAAAGTATTATTGCGTTTTTAATTCTCAGTAGTAGCACGGAGTCTGGAATTGTGCCCGGTATATGGCAATAGGCTCACCCCCTATTACATGGGACTCGTAACATAAATAGTGAAAAGTGGGTGTTACATTGTACAGTGGCATAATATTCACCTCTGCCTACCTATTCGGGGATAAAAGGCGTGATGTTATGTATGTATGGATGTTGTTAGATTCGATACCCAGTGAAGTGCCCAGTAAAGTAATATTAGGTATTTCGGTTTGCGAAATTCTTAGTATCTTATTGTAATAGACTCGAAACTAGTAAGGCCTTTCTCAGTATATTTACGTGAGTAACCCGTCGTTTTTAGTTACGTCTGAAATGTCTGTATTAGGTGACATGAAGCTATCTTTCTATTAAATTTGAGCTGTTTTCATAACAACCGAATAGTTTGTCTATCAATCTTCCTTCTTGTTCTTCCAATTTTTATCAATTTATAATCATTACTACCTTTTTCCGTTGGTGTTTTTTCTCTATCTCGTCCCTATTAAAAAGTGACGCTACTGACTCAAAAAGCTGGTAGACAGCGGCCTCACAGAAAACTGACGTGAAACAACGCTTGTGTTGTATTTCGTCGTGTGAGTGAGGTTACTGGAGGCCCAATTACCCCTTTTCCCAGTCTCTGAATCCCCAACAATCCTCAAGTTCCTTATCCCAAAAGGCCGGTAAAGCACTTGTAACGCCTCTGGTGTGCCAGGTGCCCATGGGCTACGCCGATTGCTTATCAGGTGATCTGTCTGCTCGTTTACCGGTTTATCACATAAAAAAAAAATAATAAAATGCTCAAACTGACGTTAGTTTAGTTACCTAACATTTAAAAAAATAATTCTGTTATAAATATTTTATTTTATTTATTTTATTTTATTTACATCGGAAAACATACAGTATTAACAGCTAACAAAAACACAATTTACGCAACTAATAACCAATTACATGTTTTCGCATTTAGTTATCTATGAAGAACACGCTTGAAAGAGAAAAAATGAATAAAGAGGTAATTAGGAATTATGGCAAATACAATAATATTAATTCTTGCAGTGCTAAGTGGAACAGCTATCGAACCAATGTTTTGTAAGTAATCGATTGAATACATGAGGCTTAGTAACGAACAAGTCCAGTTCAGAAAAGTCGACCAGATTATTGTAGGCTCGGTAATCGGCTTTATTCAACTATGTTTAATAAACCCGATTTCAAGCTCCTCTTTTTTGAAGTTTATTTATTAACACAGGGCTGTCTAAACTATATACCCTTGCAGGCTAATTTAAAATTTTACAAAAGCTGGAGAGCCAGAAAAATGTTTTCACATTGTACAATGACATTTAACATTGTATTCTTTACTCACAGACTAAACTTGTATACTAATCATATACATATGATGAAAATGTTTAAAATGAGTGTCGCGGCCCGCATGAGTCCGGGTCTTTGTTTAGGCAGCCCTGTTAATTAATTTAAAACCAACTCAAAGTGTAGTGTGTGTATGTGTAATAAACACTTTTCTGAAAACTGCATTAACCGCTAAGGAATGGAATTCCTTGCCAGAGGCTGTGTTTCCCGTCAAGTATGACTTGGGTGTCTTCAAGTTCCGAGTGAACAGGTTGCTCATAGGTAGGCGTGCTCCATCGTCGGCCACATCATCGCTTACCATCAGGCGAGATAGTGGTCAAACGTCGACCTATAAAGTGTAAAAAAAAATCAATTCAGTAAAATCACGAAATAATTGCACACAAATATACATACAAGTCAAATTAAAAGTCGCGGAGAACCTAACGGGTAACCGGGGCTCCGGCTCGACGTGCAGGAGAAGGAACGGGGTGGTTTTTAGTCAGTAAGAGTCTGACACTCCCTTCCGCCTCACCCAGGCGGGAGCAGCCATTCGATGATTTTCCCCCCTTAAAAAAAAGTCAAATTAAAAGCCTCCTTCTTGTTTTAAAGTCGGTTAAAAATGTTATAATGTTATAAATTCAATCCATTCATTTTAACCTCCAACGAATAAAAGAGAATAAGCTTTTTACATACAAACATACAATAATAAAATAATTTTAAATAAATAATACAATTTACGTGCCTTGTAACGATAAATTAATTATTATTATTCATTTTTGAGTTTCATCCGTAGTTAATATAAATATTTTAAATACACAGATCATTTTGTACTAGATACGGTATTGTAGGGATTTTTGAGACTGGCAATACAGCCCGTGTTAGTCCACTGGTGGACTATAGGCCTCTTTATAAAAGAAGTTTGCCATAATATCTACGCTTGCAGACGTGTTGGAGATCATAGTTTAAAAGGTTCAGGTTTATCAGAGTGCGCTGTTGTCCGGTCTCTGTCTAATGTCAATGTGTAGTCCCTTAGTCGGGTCTTACGATACCACCAGATTGTAGACTGTTGTACTGCTGGAAAAAAATGACCGTTGATTATACCAATCTTGCTAAAGACTAATTATCAATTTAAGATTTTATTTTTGAAAAAGTAATGGCGTAAATATCTTTTATATGAATTTTACATACGTAAATAACCTCACGTCTCTCCCATGGGGGTAGGCAAAGACAATGGAACGCCAATTGCTACGATTCTTACATAGCTCAAAGTCAAAGTCAAAATCATTTATTTCAACTAGACTACTTTTGAACCGCATCAACAGTCATCGGTCTTTTCGTTCGTTTTATATGAATCTTGTAACCAATATATTGCCGTATCTAGTACATACATATTTCTGTGTAAAGTACAACCAAACAAAGAAACTGCCCCATTGATAGATTCGCTGTAGTACGTATAGATACCATCGGTAGTTGTCATCTTGTCGCATCGTTATTCGTTTAGCCGTTTTGTAGATTAGCGGGCGTAGTTGTGATGGTAAACATAATGTAATAATTTAATAATGATATTGTAAACAATCAATTTTTTACATGATTATCGGTCATGAATTGCTAAATTGTAATAGACTTTTTCAAATTTTCTATTTAAATTCTGATTCTATTACAATTAGGTTTTAAACAAGGTATATCTTGTCGAATTGTAGATCTCCGCTGACGACAAAATTAGCCATGAAATGATGCTATAACAATGCAATTATATTTTATAGAATTACCCAATAAATAATCGTAAAATAATAATGATTCTATAAATGAAATTTTTGACATTAATATCCTGATTTGACATTACTTAAATAAATTATCACAAATTAAATACATAACATATCACTGTAAAAAATTGATTGTTTCTTTGACAAAGTAAAATATTTATTGTGCTATTAATAATAAAAGGAGTTTGGAAATTAATTTATAATTTCATAGTAAGCACTCGAATCTTCATAGATTTAGGTTGGAATACTCAAACGCTACTCAATATTTTGACGCTCTCAAAATATTTCTGCCTCTATAAATACTTGCTTTATACATAAACAAAATATTTCTATTTTCCTTTGTCATGGCATCACACTTGAACGGTTAGACTTATTTACTACTTTTTGTTGGTCAAGGGGTTTATAGAAAAGAACATTTTGGAAAATTAATCAAGAATATTGTTAAATAGTCCCATTTCGATGCCATGACGGACTGTTACTAAAACAAATGCCTGGCACCAGTGAAGTTGGTAATTAGGTATCCGAACGAACTAAGAGCGGGCCGCCAGTATTTAATAAAATGACAGAATAGGGTAGATGCCTAATTTATATTTTAATGTCCGTCTGTCAGATTATTTTAAATCGTTATACACGTATTTTTTATTTTCTTACAGAAACAAATACTTTCGACGATATAGTGATTTGAAATGTCGCGTGACGTCACTTCTATGTATGTACATTTTATACGTAGAAATGACGTTTCAGCCCCCACTCCTAAACTTTGATTCGTTTTATCTAAGTATTGTTTTATTATACGACAAAATATAAAATACGTGTCTAATATTTTTTCATTACCTAACTTACGGACTAATTAGATTTTTAATTTTCATACCCTGTCATCATTCCAATTAGCGCAATATTTAAGTAAAACTGAAAATTGAGTAGCATTTCAGTATTTCGGCGTTAACTAGACATTATTTATTCAGTTCATCTTGGCTGGTACTTAATGTAAGTAGGTGTACCTTATTTATTATTTTACTAATCAACCAGGGACGTACTAAGGTCGATTTGGGCCCCATAATGATGAGCGTATAACGAACGGGCCCCTAGATTACTCCTAGATTATAATGCTTAAATTGCTTTTAAAATGGCCAGTGGCTGATAAATATAATAAATGCAATAATGTGCCAAAACTATACTTTTCTTCACATAACTAAAATCATGACAATTATACATGCATACTCATAAATGTTATGATGAAATATTTTTAATAATTATGTACCTTATTACGTCCCTGACTCCAATGCCTTCCACGTGGTTTAAGAACAAATGCGTGAATTTAGTAAAAAATATCTGAATGCCTCATTACAATTTTTTTTAAACAGAAAATTGCTTATGTAGGCCAAGAATAAGGTTTTTTTTACTTGAAATACCTATGTAGTTTTTATTAAATTGAATTGGAAAAGTAACTTATAAGTTGGTTTTTACAATTTTTATTTTCTTTTTAAAAACATTGATTTGTACAGGTTTTTTTTATTTAAGAGATGTAGTTATTTTCTTTTTTTTCGTAATTTGGTAAGGGATTTCGTTTGATTAATATTATTGTAGTGATTTTAAAATTTCTCTTTAGGCATTAAATACATTTGATGTGTTCTTTGTACGAATAATTCCATTTTATTTATTAACAGTACTAACAAAATTTTTTGATGTCATTTTGAAAATAGCGGTGGATTTGGCTGTCGACTGTTGACTCATACGAAAACAAACTAAATAAGTCAACGCTACCAACACACGCCGCTAAATTCAAAATGGCTGCCTTTCGCAGAAGCGTATACTCAAAATGCTTTTTTTTCTAGTCAAAATACTAATTTGCGTTTCAAAATCAAAGATTATCGCTGCATTTATCTTTAAAGTTGTCAAATGTCATATTTATGTCATAGTATTATATGACATCAGTTGGAAAGTTGTAATAAATATCTATGAAAGTAATTTTCGTGTTCAAAACTGTTGCAATTTAAAATATTTGACCCTTGTTGTGTTTAGAGTCATTTTACAGAAAATTATATTAACATTGGCAACACCAAGTTTTGTAAAAAAATGTGTTTGCTAAACATACAACTTATGATAATAATTTAAGATTTTGTAAACAAAATTAAGGTCGAGATGGAACAATTATTTTTACTGGGTTGCAAATCAAGGAAAAAATTTAGTACTCTGGCTGTCAACTTTCAAAATTACAGTCAGATTTTTAAATATTTCTTTGACATCAGAAAGCTGTCATATTACTTTAATAGAATATGAGCTATAGGTTTTGTAATTACAAAATCAGAAAGGTATGTCTGTGCGTATAATCTGTGCGTTTCTGCCTCAATAAAAAATATCTTCTACCAAATGCATACATAGTAATTGTTTTTATCTCGACTTTTATTTTCATGAACCTTAGACACTATAAACTCGAAATGGTTTCTTGAAAACGTGTTCCTCTGGTATTTAGACGTGAAATATTAATATAGTAAAATAAACTTTGTTTTAAAACCCTAGACATTCCCAAATTAACATTTTTGGCATTCATAGATTAATTTATAGCATAAAATAGGTTTTATCCATGGAGTTTTTATACTTTATTAATAAATTAGTCATTTATGTTATGTATAATGAAAATAACATTTATTATAACATGAACGATTCTTATAATTGATAATACAAATTTTTGCACGCAATTAGTAATAGGTGATAATTTTTATTTGTAAAATGGCTGTTTGTAAAAGACATTTTATATTTTCATAATTTAATGATGGCGTAACTATATGGTATTGCTTCGATATTGGCAATTTATTAATTTCTTTATAAAGATGTATAATGAGCAATAATAAAATTAATTAAAGCCATTTTACAAACAAAAGCGTT